GAATATTAGTCTCTAAACACAAATCTAAAAAGATCTTGACTGGCTCCTGGTATTTTCTTATGAAGATCACCTGATCATACTTGTGTTTTAAAGCATTCGAAATGCCTGTTTTTGAACAGCAGTTCCGCTCAGGGACCTGATCGAAGTTTGGCAGGATTTCTTACTTGAGGATTTTGATCAATTTTGTTTTATTTCTGGTTTGATCCTTCTCTGATATAACTATAACTCTTGCCAGGATCCTCATAATAGGATTCGGAACAGATCTTGACTTAAACCTAATGAAATCTTGACGAAATTCTCTTTACGATTTTTGTTAGATTCTTGAATAGGATTACCAACGAATCTTAGAAGAATCCTACAAGCGCAATTCACAAAAAATATTCGAGCAAGAAGTTGAACAAATCTTCGATAGAATCCTGAATCACACCTGACAGGCTCCTTGAGATTTATGATTCTGAAGGATCCTTCAAGGCTCTGTCTCAAGAAATGGACATGGCTGAGCGGACTAAGCAATAACCTGTAAAGATCTTTCATAAATCATTACATTTTCTTACCAAAATCCTGCGATTAGGATTGACATTCTCTTGTAACGGTTGCCAACGTATATTCTTGAAAAGCTCTGCACAAGATTCTGATTGAAGCATCGCAGGATGAGTCAGTTTTGTATTCTGACTGATCTTGTTTCTTTTTGTTGCCAAGATCCTCGTCTGATGTGGCTATCGCTCCTGATACAAAGATTTGACCTCGATCGTAACGAGAATCTGATAAAATCTTGACAGAATCCTCTTTCATAATCTTGAGAGGACCCTTGATAGGATCCTATATTCTTAACTCAGAAAAATATCTTAGCAGGAACTTGAAGAAATCCTAAACAGGATCTTGTTTCACCTTGAAAAACTCTGGAAACAGAAATTACTGGGATTCAAAACAGGTTCCTGAATAAACCTTGACAAGATCTTTGGGATCAAGGAGCTTGAAAAATCCTTTGAAGGTTTCTCAAGGAATGAACAAGATTGAGACTAAAGGTACGTTTGTGTATAATTATCTGTCTTATTTTTTTCTTTTCTGACATTTTATCTTCTTTTACATTAGCGTCAATTGGAAGGCAAACATATGTGATAAAAGTGTGTCGCTCGGTTTTTTCCAACATCTTGAAATACAACGAAATATTTGTGATCTCGATCAAATATGTCAATCATGTAGAACACTACGTCTGATAGACCTTGTGGGCGATGTCCAATATATGGATAATGGCAGCTCAATCAATCTTCATTTCACATTCTTAAAATTTGTCCTTAAGTCTCTAATTAGTCAGCGCAAGCTCATATCACGATGTGTGCATGAAATATCAACCTTTCTGTTGATAAGATAAACATGTGACCTTTCATCTCATGATGGCTTCATGATGTAGAGAACAAAATAAAACACTAGACTTTCTCATTTTCTTAGATCATCAACGCAAAATGTTCTTTAGAATATTGTATTACGTCTTACTCCTCGTTTTCAGGTAATCCATGTCTCTTTTTTCGTCAAAATAACATTAACGAATTCTACTATAGTCTTTCTTTAGGTTTGATGCTAACTAGTTGTCTTCGTTTGATCATCCAATTCTAATTTGTATAGGTTTAGTGAAAAGTCAAATATGTAATGGTCTATCTCAGTATGAACAATGCTCGACGAATAGTGCATGTGGTTGTTTTCAAATGGTTGCTTCCGAGAACAGCAGTGTTTGTGGATTTCTTTGGTTAACCTGCTCTCAGCTTGTCTTATGCGGGGCATCAAACAATGCTTGTTTTGAACCTCATCATATATGCGTTCAGCATCCTCGATGTCACCATCTACCTGTCTGTTATCCACTATCCATGACAGGTCAAGAGATGTGTCCATCGGTAAAACCAATAACAAGTAAGAAGGTTACAAATGATCGTACGGATAAGAATAACATTACATCAGTGTAAGAGCAGTCATCCTATTCCGCGATGTTGCACATTGCGGGAATCGATTCCGCCTCCGGAATCAGTTCCATCCGATTCCGGGATTCCCAATCGTCGAACTAACTCGGCTTATTCGGAAACGATCGAGTTCCGTCAAATTTCGGAATTACCGGAACTCCGTGCAATTCCGGAATTTTGTCGGATTCCCGGAATTCCGGAATCGGTAGGAATTCCGTACAATTCCGTCTCGACTCAATTCCCAGAATTCCGTACCGGAATTAGATAGTGATCGAATGGAATAAACTATAACCACATCAGTGTGGGTGTGGGTGAGGGAAGATGTAATTCCGGAATCGGTAGGAAATCGGTGGAATTCCGGAATCTATAGGAATCGATGGGATTGGCGTGCGATTCCGGAATCGGATTCGATTTTAGTAATTCCGGGAATTTCGGGAACTCGATCAATGTCGAGTAGTCGTCTTACGTTGAATGACGCCGGAATTCCGGGAATTCGGTGGAACTGATTTCGGGGACGGAACTGGTTCCGCAATGTTCAACATCGCGGAATAGGATGTATTCTGCAGTGTAAAAGATTTCATTAAATGACTGTTTACGTCAAGGAGTACTCTTCCATGTTACACAAAATTATCTTCCCCCAAGCTTGAAGTTTCTGCGATTAAAGATAGTTGTGTGAAGTTATTGTTATGTTTAAAATAACTCTTTCTGACATTTCTTTACATTTTTACATATGACTCATATGCAACTATCTTTTACGCCTCAGAATTTCGTACGTAGGAGAAGTTAGCCTCATATTCGAGTAAATCCAGCCAACATTCGGCGCCAAAGCTGCTCCAGCTGCGCCAAACAGCGCCAGAATAGAAATCGACGAGCTCTATCGATTGGTAACTTTGGATTTGCCATAGCTCGAACCATTCGTGAAAAAATCCAAAAATACTAGTTTTTTCCTACGCAAATTTTGCCGTATGGATAGTAAATCCAGCCGACATTCGTCCAGGATGCTGCTCCAGCTGCGCCAGACAGCATCAGAATAGAACTCGACCAGCTCTATCGATTGGTAACTTTGCATTTTCTATTGCTAGAAACATTCATGAAAGAATTTCAAAATACTAATTTTTTCCTATGCTAATCTTAGCACATGGATAGTAAATCCAGCCGATATTCAGCGCCAAAGCTGCCCCAGCTGCGCCAGACAGCGCCAGAATAGAACTCGACGAGCTCTATCGATTGGTAACTTTGGATTTGCCATAGCTCGAACCATTCATGCAAAAATTCCAAAATACTGATTTTTTCCTATGCAAATCTTACCATATCGATAGTAAATCCAGCCGATATTCGGCGCCAAAGCGGTCCCAGCTGCGCCAGCCAGCGCCAGAATAGAAATCGACGAGCTCTATCGATTGGTAACTTTAGATTTGCCATAGCTCGAACCATTCGTGAAAAAATCCAAAAATACTAATTGTTCCCTACGCAAACCTTACCATATGGATAGTAAATCCAGCCGACATTCTTCCAGGAAGCTGCGCCACATCGCACCAGCATAGAACTTGATGACTTCTATCGATTGGTAACGTTGGATTTTCCATAGCTCAAACCATCTGTAAAAAAATCCCAAACTATTACGTTTTTCCTATGCAAATCTTATCATATGGTTAGTAAATCCAGCCGATATTCGTCCCGGAAGCTGCTCCAGCTGCGCCAGACACCGCCACCATAGTACTCCATGAGCTCTATCGATTAGTAACGTTGGATTTTCCATAGCTCAAACCATTTGTGAAAAAATTCCAAAATGGTAAGATTCGCATAGTGAAAAATTAGTATTTTGGGATTTCTGCACGAATTGTTCGAGCTATGGAAAATCCAACGTTAACAATCGATAGAGCTCGTCGAGTTCTATTCTGGCGCTGTCTGGCGCAGCTGGGGTAGCTTTGGCGTCGAATATCGGCTAGATTTACTAAGCATATGGTACGATTTGCATAGGAAAAAATTAGTGTTTGGGGATTTTATCATCAGTGGTTCGAGCTATGGAAAATCCAAAGTTACTAATCGATAGAGCTCATGGAGTACTATTGTGGTGGTGTCGGGCGCAGCTGGAGCAGCTTCCTGGACGAATATCGGCTGGATTTACTAACAATATGATAAGATTTTGCATAGGAAAAGCGTAATAGTTTGGGATTTTTTCACAAATGGTTTGAGCTATGGAAAATCCAACGTTACCAATCGATATAAGTCATCAAGTTCTATTCTGGTGCTATGTGGCGCAGCTTCCTGGAAGAATGTCGGCTGGATTTACTATCCATATGGTAAGGTTTGCGTAGGGAACAATTAGTATTTTTGGATTTTTTCACGAATGGTTCCAGCTATGGCAAATCCAAAGTTACCAATCGATAGAGCTCGTCGATTTCTATTCTGGCGCGGGCTTGCGCAGCTGGGACCGCTTTGGCGCTGAACATCGGCTGGATTTACTATCGATATGGTAAGATTTGCATAGGAAAAAATCAGTATTTTGGAATTTTTTCATGAATGGTTTGAGCTAAGGCAAATCCAAAGTTACCAATCGATAGAGCTCGTCGAGTTCTATTCTGGCGCTGTCTGGCGCAGCTGGGGCAGCTTTGGCGCCGAATATCGGCAGGATTTACTCGAATATGAGGCTAGCTTCACCTAGGTTAGGAAAAAACTAGTATTTTGGGTTTTTTTCACGAATGGTGCGTGGTATGGCAAATCCAAAGTTACCAATCGATAGAGCTCGTCGTGTTCTATTCTGGCGCTGGTTGGCGCAGCTAGAGCGGCTTTGGCGCCGAATATCGGCTGGATTTACTATTGATATGGTAAGATTAGCATAGCAAAAAATTAGTATTTTGGAATTTTTTCATATATGGTTCGAGCTATGGCAAATCCAAAGTTACCAATCGATAGAGCTGGTCGAGTTCTATTCTGATGCTGTCTGGCGCAGCTGGAGCAGCATCCTGGACGAATGTCGGCTGGATTTACTATCCATACGGCAAAATTTGCGTAGGAAAAAACTAGTATTTTTGGATTTTTTCACGAATGGTTCGAGCTATGGCAAATCCAAAGTTACCAATGGATAGAGCTCGTCGATTTCTATTCTGGCGCTGTTTGGCGCAGCTGGAGCAGCTTTGGCGCCGAATGTTGGCTGTATTTACTCGAATATGAGGCTAACTTCACCTACGTGAATTTCGTGCTCTTTTCATTGGTATATGGTGCATTAGATTACATTCACATATCGTAAAATTGTAGAAAAAAGTTATTTTGAAAATAACAATAACTTCACATCACTAATTGAGGATCTCACTATATTAACACTATCGGTAAAAAATCCTACAAATTTTCCCTTGCTAACCTAGTCTTTTTACGACCACATAATTTCACTTTTGGTCTATAGTGATCATCTTTTCAATTTTTTATCACAATTGTTGAGTATTGATTTTTGTGGAATACGATCTAAAAGGCGGGTTGAAGTATAGAGTAGAAATTTTTGGCTCACCCCAATCTTCTCAGACGCGAAACACGTCCTTAGCAACGGCACATTATCGATGTGACAGACATTTTAATAATATCCCCCATCACAAACCATGATAGATGCATTCGTAATTCGCCTAATTTACAATGTGAGCAGTCGAACATGCTTCGCTTTTTAATCCCGGACGGGTTATGCTAACGGCGTTTTCTTAACTACAAACCATAATTGCAATTCTATATATACCTGTATGATAGTAAGGTTGTAGATTCTGCGCATCTCTATATCAGGCGATCCGGATCACTTATATACGGTTTGGGCAGACGCGAGATTATGCAAAAAGTGATCAAAGAACACAAATAATCTATTTTCGAGAGTACTGTTCGACATGATAATACCATGATTGGGCACCGATGATAGTGATGTCTGAGGTGTGCATCGCGTCTAAAAATAAGACGAGGGCGGCGCAGAAGACTACGTAAACTTTAATGCAGTGGCGAAGGTTGCCACCGCCCTAAAGCCATTTTGAGCGGCGGAGAAGTCACTCGGCCTTTTGTCAAATAAGAGGAGCGAAGCGGCCATCCCGCGACCGCCTCATGATACCTGAAGAATTTTTTTCTCGATCTTTTTTGCAGAGTTGTTGTATTAATATTTCTTAACAAAGAATGCCTCATTTTTTGACAATTATCTACGGGCAAAACTACAGTAAATAGGTATAGACCAGTAACAGTTTCAACTGGTCAACTGGATACCACTTTACCGGGCATCCAATAAACTGATACCGTTGCACACCTACTTGAAAAAGGTGGAGATGAACATGTTATTTAAAAAATGAAACAATGGAGAATCTGCGGGAAAGGTAAAAATACAAAGAGAAGAATAAATACGAAAGGAACAAGGTAGACGGACAAAATTTTACCACATAGAATGATATACCGTGCCAGAGACACAGACAATCAAAATGAACAATATATCTAGTATATGTGCAGGAAATACTAATAAAAGAAAGAGAAAAAAGATATTAAGGCATAGCCTTTAACTGTATTATAAAAATAAGGTGCTCTGATAATTAGAAAGTATTACCAGTAGAATTTAATGAAATTTGGTTTTCTCTTAAGAGTAATTATTCTGTGGATGTACTTTCTGGTTTTACTTTTGATCTCAGACAAAAAATACAAAGGTGTTGCTCGAAGACATTAAAATTGACTTTGCTTTTCGATAATCGACTTAAAGAAATTTGAGCAACTCATATGATCTCAGCATGGCCGCCCGGCGGCCAACTTACAAGTAAGGCGAGCGTGCCACTATCGCCCTCAATTTTTTTTCGCGGTGCGGCCGCTAAAATGTGAGTTATATTTTATATTAGAGCGCGGCGTGGCCGCTTTCGCGCAGACAGGTACGCCTCTGCGTCATATTCAATAATTATATCCAGTGCCCATCAAAGGATATAGTAATCATATGTTAAAGTACTTATAATTGTACGTAAGAAGATGTAGATGGCTACGCTATCAGGCTGTGGGATTCCTAATCTTGAGAAATTTTAGCTTTTAGATCATGCAAAAAATCATTCTTTGAAAATTCTTCGGTTTTCGCTGTTTAAACTATTCTGAGTATGTCTCTAACAAATCAAATTTTTTTACTAAAATATTCAGAATCAAAAACTTCACAAACACTGAAAGTTTCATCGAAATCGGTGATCATTTTTGTACGTCTGCGTAAGAGTCATGCAAGTGCGCAAGCCAAAAAATTGGAAATTTTCACAGTTTGCGATTTCAACAAATTTGAAGTGGCGGGATGAACTAGCTGTATTCGCATACAGACTAGCGTTTCATTTCATTACCGATAAAGTCGACTTATGTAAGAAATGTTTATCATAGTAGATAACACTTTCGCTAAGAGTCACTATAGATTACAGAAGTGTCCCAAGGGCTTTAAGATGGAAGGTGAAAACTTAAGAGGGGAGAATGAGGTAGGATCATAGTCTTTTAATAATTTTCGGGGTTTGACCGACTTTTCGACAACATATGAACAAAAAAAGTAAAACGTCAGAATTCCACTAATGGAAAACTAATATTTCTCAAGGTTGATGGTCGATACTCCCTGCTCGAGACACTCCTGATAGCGTAACCATCCATCTACGCCCTCTTGTGTACAATAGAGGTACTTTGGACATATGCTTATTATATCCTTTGACAGTCGCTGGATACATGTATTTCACATGGCTATCATGGGTGCCCAATCTAAGTATTATCATGTCGAACAGTACTCTCGAAAATAGGTTATTTGTGTTCTTTGTTCCCTTTTTGCATAATCTCGTATCCGCCCAAACCGTATATAAGTGATCCGGGTCACCTGACATAGTGATGTGCAGAATCTACGACCTTAGTATCATACAGGTATATATAGAATTGCAATTATGGTTTGCAGGTATAGAAAAAAGTCAATCCTCGGCAATTGCAATAAAAAATGAACAGACCACTGTAGCGCAAAAGTGAAATTGTGTGACCACAAAAAGACTATGCTAGTGAGTGAAAGTGCGTGGGAGTTTTTATCAACAGTCTTAGTATGGTGAGACCTTTAATCGCTGAAAGATTCAGCATGATCAAAGATGCTATTGTATTCCGTAAAGATCACAAATGAATTCTTTCAAACTGCTTTGTACGAAAAAAAACAGAACAGTGATCATCTCTATCTCGACCGTTTCTTCATGTAGCACCATCTCCACCGACAAGACCTGGAGACGGAATTTGCGCAAGTGCAACATGGGCTTGGAATGGTGTTACTGTCGCTGGTGGCCATGGTGCAGGCTCAGGACTTCATCAGTTAAATAATCCTTTTGGACTTTTTGTCGATGATGATGGAACCATTTATGTGGCGGATGTTCAAAATCATCGCGTAGTTAAATGGGAAGAGGGTGCATCGAGAGGTCATTTAGTTGCAGGTGGAAATGAAGCTGGAAACTATACTGACCAATTGAATCAACCGTACGATGTTGTCGTCGATCAAAATGGAACGGTGTACATTAGTGATTACGTTAATGCTCGGGTCCAACGATGGTTTCGTGGTGCTCTGAGCGGAAAAACAGTGATCAGGAACATTTATGCCGTTGGTTTAGCACAAGATGAAGAAGGATCACTTTATATATCTGACTTTAAAAGTAATACAGTCAAAAAATGGCGGCAAGGTGATTCAGTTGGACAATTGATCATTTCGGGACTAAATGGAACTGAGCTACTGTTTGTTGATAGACATCGATCTGTTTACATAAGCGATACATGGAACCATCGAATTCTGAAAATAAAGGATGGCGAAAAACAAGGTTCGATTGTTGCTGGCGGATCTTATGGAGCAGATGCAAGCCAATTAAATCAGCCGTACAGTATTTGTGTCGATCAGCTAGGTACCATTTATGTGGCTGATACTGTTAATCACCGAATAATGCGATGGCCACAAAGAGCAAAATCGGGTAGTCTCATTATCGGTGGTCGCGGTCAAGGTTCCCAACCTGATCAATTAAATTTTCCCACTGGTATATCATTTGATCGAGAGGGAAATCTGTATGTAGCCGATAGAATGAATCACCGTGTGCAAAAGTTTTTCATTGACAAAAGTTCATGTGACATATGTGAGTTTAAACTAAGATCTTTCTACGCCTTATACGTGTTGTTTTCTTTAGCACAAGCGAAGAAGAATATCCTACAATACGTACATGTATAACAGAACAAGAAAGGATTGGAATTACTTTTCGCGGATTATTTGTGAATATCCATAATTCGTATAGAATATGCATTTTCTATGATTTTTTCTAAGGTTCTTCTGTTTCTCTT